CTCTAACACAAATTACCTATTTATCTATTTATTATGAGTTCTTTAATAAAAGGAAATCTAATTAGACAAGAATTATTAATATAAAAAATATTTATTAATTGATATAAAAAGAGTTTTTAAAAGAATTTCTATTAAACTCTAACACAAATTACTAATATATATAAAAATATTTTTTAATTGATATAAAAAATAATAATTTTTCTAAAACTGTACCACAAATTACCTTTTATTATGAGTTTTTTTTAATAAAAGGTAATCTATTTAGACAAAAATTATTAATATATTAAAATATTTACTAATTCGTATAAAAAGAGTTTTTTAAATATTTTCTATAAAACTCTAACACGTGTCACCTATTTATCTATTTATTGTGTGTTTTTTTAATAAAAAAAATACAATTAAACAAAGAATATATTTAAAGAAAATAAAAAAAATTTAAAAAAAACTACCAAAAATTAGCTATTTTATTTTCTATAAAATTCTATCACATTATCTATTTATTAGGAGTTTTTTTATTTTATTAATCAAATTAGACAAAAATATATTTAAACAAAATAAAATAATTTCTATAAACTCTACCACAAATAAGCTATTTTATTTTCTATAAAACTCTATCACATATAACCTGTATTTATCTATTTATTTTGAGTTTTTTAATAAATGGAAATCTAATTAGACAAAGATATATTTTTAAAAAATATAATAATAATTTTTTAAAATATTTATATAAAACTCTAATACAAATTACCAATTTATCTATTTATTATGAGTTTTCTAATAAAATAAAATCTAATTAGACAAGGATATATATATTTAAAATAATAATAATTTATCAATAAAACTCTATCACATTAGACAAGTATATATTTAAAGAGTTTCTATAAATCTCTACCACAAATTACCCAAACTCTACCATAAATTTACTAGGTTTTTATAAAAATAGTTTCTTTAAAACTCTAAAAATTACCTAATAAAATCAATCACAATAAAATATTTATTAATTGATATACAAAGAATAGTTATAATTTATTATTAATTATCATAATATAACCGGCCCGACCCAATTATGATTTTGTCATTATCAGGAGAGAACACATATCATCATCCTTTTAATCCAAAAAGCCTATAAATAGAGGCATGAAGGAAGGAGGAAGGGTACAAAAATTAAGAACTTTAGAAATCTAGAATTTCAGAGAGAAATTCAAAGAAGCTCTGCCAAAGAGTTTCAGTATTGATATAAAAAGAGTTTTTAAATGTATAAAGAGTTTCAGTATTTATTTATTAATATTAAATGTATAAAGAGTTTCAGTATCTATACGGTTTTATTGAACTCTATCACTTTATCTTTTTATTATGAGTTTTTTAATAAAATAAAATCTAATTTGACAAGAATATATTTAAACAAAATAAAATAATTTCTATAAAACTCTATCACAAATTAATTATTTTATTTTCTATAAAACTCTATCACATATAACCTGTATTTCTCTATTATTATAAATATTTTTACAGAAAATAAATTAATTTCTCTAAAATTCTACCCCATTGTCTACTTTATCAATTTCAAAATATTTCAGTATTTATTTATTAGTATAAAAAATATATTTATAAATTAATATAAAAAGAGTTACAATTTTTTGTAAGATTTATTGTTACAAGCTTAAAAAATATATATGAAAACAAAAATTCTATAAGTTATTAAGCATTAATCACGTGCATCGCACGTGCCTGTTCCTAGTGTGTGTGTATATATATATATACTAACCACCACACATTTAATTATATACTCGTGTAATTGTGAACAAAATAATTATGCAAGATATGCAATGAACCCAAAATAAAATTTCCGTGCTCAACAACTTCGATAATGGGTCCCACCAGGGACCTCGCGGCCCGAAAAACAGAAAAATATCGAAATGGCAATCGATACATTTTCAAGAGTCCTGAACTTAAGGAAATGCCCCAACCAACTCTCAGACACAGCAGGCACACCTTACAGTATCCGGCACGCAAAATGAGAAAAGACGAAAATACCCTCAAAAAAATTGAAAATTCCAGTAAATGAAAAATTGCAAAAATTGGAAACATTACAGGATTGCTATATACATATTTGGGTGTGGCCTGTATCAAATTAGGACTTCATGTTTGTTATTTCATTCTTTTCTGGTCCCAATTTCTCTGTTTTGGGCTCCATGCTTTCTACTATTGTCCTCGTTTTACCTATATGAGCTCGAATTGGTTTACCGGCGTGGTTACACCGTTTTTACATCATTTTACCTATATAGAGCTCGATTTCTTACATTTGTTTTGTTTACCTTTTTAGTGCTAAATTGTTATCTGTGCTATTTTGTTTCGTGCTATCTATGCTGGGCTTTCTTTTTTTCTTTCCATTCTAGTGTTTCCTCTCTCTGGGTTTCCATGGCGGTGCCCCGCTTGGCAATGATATGCCTCCTTCGATGCCATGGAGTTTGGACCACGGATGGATGTTATAAGAATCCTTTCTAAGACGGGCAAGCTTTTGGTAAATGAATTTTTTGAATTGTGCATGGAAGACAAGCGATGCTTATTGGGTTGCAATTTGGGCTTGATGCTAACATGGCCCCCAGCTCTCAACCTAAACTGGCTCATTGTCAATCTAAGGACATGTTATGAAGTGGGGTGTGCTTATTTGTATTTCTATTAGGTTTATTGTATGTTGCCTGGATCAAAGCCTTGCTTTGGCAAGGAATGACATATGTACTCTTTTTATGTAGTGCTGTGTTTTTTGTCGGGACAAAAATAAATAAATAAATAAAGGAATAATGAGCCCCATCTGATTTCTATTCTTTATTATTATTATTATTATTATTATTATTTATTTTTTTAAATTGACAATAAAAATGATGTGTCATAACAAGATTATGCCACATATACATATACAGTAAGATAATGTAAATTCTCACCGGTGTAGTAAAACGGTTGTACTATAAGTCACAAAAAGCGAAAATAAGAAAAATTATTATTTCTTCGTACCGGAAGCATTTTACAGAGCACTTGTACCTCTGCATATCATTATATTTATTATCACGGGGTAAAATCATAAATCCCCTTTGTAGTATAAAAAATATATACATATAACCCCAACAAAATCAAATAACCTCCGAACTAAAAAATATTTATAATGTTATTTCATATTTATGTTATATGAATTGTGAAATGATAACATTGATCTTACTAGTTAGTGTTAAATTAAAATATTATAATTCTTGTTTTAAAATTATGAATTTAACATTCATGGGTCCATTCTAAATGAAATTTAATTTAGCGAGTGCTTGCTTTCAATTGGAATAGACAAGACCAAGTTTAAACTTATAATTTTAAAATTATTATTATCAGTATTTTAATTTAATATTAGATAGAAAGGTCAATTGTGTTATTTCACAACCCAATTAATATGAGGTTTACCAAAAAATTACAAGGATCTTTTATTTTTTCCTAATATTATATATTCCTTTTTAATTTTGCACCTTTCCAGCAGTTTTCATTCTCGTGGCATGTTATCATCTATCATTCGGGAATGAAAAATCAATATGAATTTAAAGATTTTAAAATTGAATACGATGATTGACAAAATTAAATTTGTAAATTAAATAAAAATTTATTTTTAAAACGTTAATTTGTGCAGAGTGTGAGAACAACTTAAATTACACTTTAAGGTAACGAGTATTGCATCAAATGACAATCTTTTATTGCAAAACAAAGTAAAGCTTGGATAATTTACTCTGCTAACTCTAACTCATAAATCAAATATAGTTCATTAACTTCCCTTTTTGAGTTACATTATGACCTATTAAATTAACTTCAGCTCGTTCAAGATGATAAACCATCTTTATGCCCAAAATTCTAACCAATTACTTGTTCCTTTACGAAATTTGACGTCTTTTTAATGCAAAACCCTCTAATACCAAGAATGCAACTCTGGAAGTGTTTTTTTTTCGAGAGTAGCAATTTTTTTTTTTTACCAAACGAGGGCACTTAAAAGTCTTCTTTACACAAGTGCAAAACATCTTAACTATATATATATATATATTTACATGATTATTTCTAACTCTATGCCTTCTAGTTTTACCGGACATCTATTTCAATATACGTATTTCTGCCATTTTCCAAATGTTGTTTCCTAAAATGTACCATAAAGTATGACAAATTTAATATCTGTTCGATAAAATCCGTTCAATTGTAAAAGGATACCAAGGACCTTGTAGCCTGATGGAACTTTCTCGTCTTCCAAAAAGAAAGTCGAGAGTTCAAGTGATTCAAGTCTCCGTGAGAGAAAAAAGTGAGTGTGTTTCTTGTCAATGAAAAGAAAAAAATAAATAAAAATAAAATTGTAAGATGATACACCTATCACATAATATACTAAATGCACTCGTCTGTTAACTCCCATCCTACCTTGATTCTATAATTAACATTATCTCCAATTTCTACAAGTTATAAATAATTGAACCTAAATAAAGAAAAATGTTCTCTATTTTTTTTCTTTTCTTTCTACCACTTGATTCTTAAACCTTCATTACATTCTCATTTGTCTTTCTAAATTTACTAAAATTACAATCCATAGATTTATTTCTATTTCCACTTATCTTAAACATTTTTTTTTTTTTTTTTCTTCTTCTTCTTCTTAGTACTCACACACGTATGTCTCCACTAAGACTTAAAGTCCTGAACTCACTTTGAGACCATAAACTTGATAACTTTTTAGTTCTAAAGCGGCCTCACTTTCAGAACCAGAAACTTAATAACTTTTTAGTTCTAAAGCTTCTTTTCAAGCCTCCAATTTGGCTTTAAACTTCTAGTCTTGTCAACAAATAATATACCCTACAGAATCTCATATTGGATGTGCAGCCCATTCACAATTTGAACTTCAGAGTAAAATGAAAAAAGACAGACGTAGGACACATCATAGTTAGTTAGCCCATTTAGTTTTATAAGTATACTATAACAAAATAAAAATACTAAACATATTTGATAACGTTTGTCTGTCGTCTTTTAAATAATATCAAAGTGTTTCCAAAATTGAAGCTAAAATCGAAAGTATCAAAATGATATTTTTGTTTACTTTCGCATGGTAACAAAATACTGTTCAAAAAAAAAAAAATTCTAAATTAATATTTTTAACTAACTATTTAATTTTTCAAACTTGCGACATTTTTTACCAAACATGCTTTCACGTTTTTACTTCCAAAAGTCTTGTAACAAATTTACGTAACCAAATTTCGAAATAATGTTAAACACTCTAAAGCGAAAACATTATTTTTGTTTCGGGTCAAAGCAAAAACATAAAGTAACTGCGGTTGCCAAATGGGCCCTATAATAGCTAACAATAGTCCTCTCTTAACAAATAACAATCTATTCAAGCTGGACCATCGCCCCAATAAAAAAAATATCCTTGTGAACACCAGTTTAGAGGGTTCATATATGGAACATGTTTGAATTCACATTCAAGCTTTTGCGTAATCGGAGAACATTTCGTTTTCGCTACGAAGTAATGAGTAATCTTTTTCAAATCATGCTGGATCAGCACAAGCCTTTCATACCTCTTGCTCGTTGCAAAATCAGCCATCCTGTCCAAACATGCACCACTTTCTAAAAAATTTCATCATCCATGCAATGTAGTCTAGTGATGCGCCTTCAAACTGAAATAAAACATTAAAATGCCACAGATCTCAACTCAATCAATAGAAGACGTATCGCTGACTGCATGGTGATCTTCGAGGTGCATTATGGCCGCATGCAGAGACTCTAAATCTTCAAAGTAAATTTTCTTCATACATATTTCCTCTTTCAATTCGGCTAGACGGGTGCTGATCTGCAATCCTATATCACATTTAGCATCCTCAGAGTCGGTCATCACTAAAGGAGAGGACTCACTTGGTAGTAAGTTTGCAGACCATCGGCAGTCATTAATGACTGTACCATTCAACCTAACAATACGGAAAAAGAAAATGAATTCAGCTCAAAGTACCGCATGCTCCCTCATCTATGCATTTTGAGCATATAGGTATATGATAATTATAAAAAAAAATTGGAAGTCATAAATTCAGATGTAAGACGATGGAAAGCATCTAAATTAAATATAGACACGATCTGATGAATTTGTGTAGAACATCCAGGGATTTGTAGTTAAAAATGCTAAACAGATTTCTTACTTGTTGGTTTCCTGGGCAAGGACCAATAAAAAATAAAGATAAAAGTAATAGATTAACAAAAACAATTGCACAATTAATTGTGTGGAGTGGGCCAAAGATTAGAAAATTCATTGATTTCACCCATATATCAACCAACATAGCCATATCCCAATTCTTTTGCGATTTGGCAACATAAATTCTCCCAGATTATTCCAGCTTGTTTAAATTGTGTATTTACTTGGACACGTGGCATTTTAAATTTCTTTCTAGTACATTTGGTTGATGAATACTCCCCCACCTCCCCATTTCCGTTCCATGTAATGTGTTGTGAAGCTGCAGGAAAATGTAGCAATTAAATGGACTTTACAACCATAACCCCACTTTCTAGTTTCCATTCCTCGGCTGTATTCTATTAATATTCATATTTACCATTTGGTGCCAAATAAATGGAAAAAAAGTGGAAACATTAGAAGATCCAAGAGGAATGAGGTTTGGAAATCCAATTACACCAGATGTTAGTGGCTATAGTATCTTTGAATAAAATAGAACAGAGAACAGGTATTGATGGAGAGGCAAACATGAAAAGAGAACAAAGACACTAGAAAACAAATATGCTAGGTAAGTGACTCTTACTTTTTAAGTATGCTTTGTGACTCCAACTCGTGCTGCACACTATAGAAGGCATCTACTGCATCGTTTTTTGCCCTTGACAACCCCTCCAATGAACCAATCGAAACACACTTCGAGTGTATGGCAGGAACCGTAGTTTCACTGCTGATATTCTTAATTCTAATGGTAACAGTTTCTGCATCAAGATGAGCATGAATTGGAAGTTGAAAGCTCTTTACCGTAATGCCACCCACTGAAGCTGCTCTCCTGCTTGATTCTACACACTAAACATTCAAAAAACATTCTTACTAATTATCTTCTACACACATAAACACACAATACTCTAAAAGTATGAATAAATTAATATCTACCTCAAATTCAACATCGCAGCAGTCGAGTTCATTAGGTACACTTCTCATGGAAGCACTAGATATCTTTCCAAATATTGAAATTGCTTCTATCAGATGGGAAAGCTTGATTAAAGAAGGTACATTCTGTACAGTAATAGACCTCGAACCTTTTAAGTTAGAAGCACTCTTATTCTTATTAGGGTAGCTAGAAACATCATCGTGGCTTGAGCAAGGAGCTGGTGAAGGTCGAATTTTGCTTGCCAAAATGTCCTCCCAGCTGGTGCTACTTTTTCCATTCAAAGACCTCCCAGATGCAAGTTTTCTGGCAGGATCAGATTTCTGCTTCAGAAGAAGATTAAAGTCACAGCATATAAGAATTAATCATCTTTTATTCCAGATTACATGCAGATATATAAAAATGTCAAAAGTCAATTAAGAAAAAATATGAGGAAAAAGACATTAAATATGCTCTTAATTAGATAAAATACAATACTAGAGCACACTGTATGCTTACCCTAAAAGTTTCAGGTTTTTCTGTCACCAATTTCAGCAATCCTTTGGCACCATGGGCTACAGGCGGACCCAATTCTGAGAATTCATCGTCTTCTTTTTTTGATAAGTAAACAGAACTGTGAACTGACCGCTTCAAGCTTTCATTTCCTTGTAACTGGAGGCTGGACAATGTTCTGATATGAGATACTCCTTGTTGAGAATTGATCTATGATATAATTAGTCCAGCATTGTCCAAGTCCACCAAAGTAATCCTATTTTTACTACAACTTCTATAGATTATTGTATTGACCCAAGTAACGGATCATATTACACTCTGGAAACAATGTGCTCAAATAAAGTCATCAAGAATCGCTAAACAAAAAAACAAAAACATTTTTTTTTTCTTAATAAGTGCAGCGTTATGACCTTTGAGACTTGGACCTCGGACCATTCACCGCCCTTCTATAAGGTGGTAGACATACAACTAAAGCAAGACAGATGATAACTTCAACTTCTGGACATAAGGCAAATATATTATTTTTGCCAAGACAGAAAACTATTTTCTTTACAAGCTGAAATACGGAACAAATTATCATTATAATCTTAAGAGTTTTGCACCTACTCAAATTTCCAAATTTCATCAGGGAATTTGAAGTGTGAATTAACATTTCTGGTAGGTTTTAACAAAATTGCATCCCAATTGGGTCTAGAACCCTATACCTCCTCATTTGAGGTGCCAGGAGATGCCATTCGAACTAACTATGGTCGTCAAAATGGCAATACATGTATATTTCTGATTTTTTTTTTTTGGGTGGGGTCCACAGATAAAGAAAGAATGAATCATATATTTAGCTTATATATTCTCTTCTCTAAATTTCTCACACACCCCACACAAACATGCGCACACGGATATACATATATACATGTGTTATGGATACATCTGTTGAAAATATTATTTTAGTATCATGCTTTGTGGCAAGATAATAATTTTAGTTTCTCTTTTTTCTTCTTTGGATAATCCTTTCCTCATTGTCTCATATAAAACCTGCATACCATGTGATATGGGTTAATTAGAGGGAAAAAAAAAAAAAAAAAAAAAAAAAAAAAACTCTGCAATATAAATATTGTGCTTTTAACCCCCTTGTTGTTTTAAAAACCCCATAAAGTAATCAAAAACTGCAAATAAGGGTTTTCTGTTAAGCTTTTGTCAACAGAAGAATGAAAGTACTCACACAACCTTAATTGTAAAGCATAACAAAAGAATAATAAAAGGAGAATAACTGAAAATACAAAAAGAAGCCATACCAATCCATGTTGTTTTAGGTAAGCAGCCATGAAATTGTGTTTTGGACAAATTTTGTGTTTTTAACCCCTTTGTTGTTTTAAAAACCCCATAACGTAATTAAAAAGTGCAAATAAGGGTTTTCTGTTAAGCTTTTGTCAACACAAGAATGAAAGTACTCACACAACCTTAATTGTAAAGCATAACAAAAGAATAATAAAATGAGAATAAGTGAAAATACAAAAAGATGCCATACCAAACCATGTTGTTTTAGGGAAGCAGCCATGAAATTCAACCCTTCCCTGCTTTCATGGCCACATAACCTAGCGTTAGGATTAGAACTTAGTGTTGGACAAATTTTGTAACAAGAGTCAACTAATTCATCAATTAAAGTTCACAATCATGCATTCTCTCAATGGTGCATTCCAAGGCTATTTCAAAGGTGTTAAAGGCCTCAAGCATGATCCATTATCATCCTTCCTGTTTGTCCTAGAACAATGTGTTTCCACATGCCTCCCCATCTCACAGGCCAGATACACAGTTTGATTCATGAAAAAAAATGTTTAGAATGCATGAAGTTGTTTCGGGAATAAATAATTTAAATAGATTTTTTTTATTTAAATATTACACTTACTGAACAGTTTTTGGAAACTTCTTTGTTAACCCCAAGGTTTCATCCCAAGGACATTTGGGTAATTCTGATGATAAAAGTTGCTAAGGTGAGGAATAAATGTTCTACTTGATCAATTTCAGATTATTTACAAACTCAAGTAATTCAAGATTAAAGGCCTTCAACTTCAAAGGGACTAACAACAAAATTCAAATTCATAAAGCCACATGATCATGGAACTCAAAGATAAAAAAATCAAAGATCAATGACAAAGTTGAAGTGGATCCAAGCCTTATGATACTGGAACCCAAAAGATTGAAAACCAAGACTTAGGTGAGTGTTTTAATTTAATGTAAAGTTATTTTTGAAGTAAGTTGATTTGAAAGCTCAATCCTTGACAAGTTGATTTGAAAGCTCAATCCTTGACTTAGTAGACTCTAACACCCAGTGCAATTTGTGCATATAATTTATAACGATCCTTAGATATGTAATTTTCACGCCCGTGCTTTTTGGAGGGTGGCACCTTTTTGCGTTTGGTAGTCTATTTGGAAGGAGCGGAATAGAATATCTCTTGATGGGGAGGAGTCTTCCATTGGGTCTTTGAAATTCCTTATTATTAACTCTCTTTTTTGTTGGGTGATGGGGAGAAATTGTAAATCTATAGAGGAGATAGTTGATTTTTTGGGTTCTTTAGGTCCGTAGGACCTATTTGGCTTTGGCTTGTGTGTAGTTTCCAGGATGCGCCCCCCTTTTGAACACTTTCTTATACATATTTACTTATAAAAAAAATGGTCCTTAGATGCATAGCAATATGCCATGAAATTAATTGATTCATTAGAAGTCCTTAGTTAACTTTGAGTTGATTTAAACTTGTCATAACTTTTAAAGAACTTAACTCTTGACTTAGTGGACTCTAGGACCCAATGCATTTCATGCACACCATTTTAATGGTCCCTAGACTCTTAGTAATAGGCCTTGGACTTACTTATCAAAAAAAAAGTAATAGGCCTTGGACTTAATTGAACCATACTATAAAGTCATTGTTGCTAGTGGAATGACTTAAAGCTCATTTTAATTCCAATGGCCTCATATTTCACAAAATTAGCAAATCAGTCTACTTACTTTCTTGACCCCCTCAAACTTAAAAGTTCATAACTTTTAGCGTGGTTGAAATTTTTAAGTGAAACTATTCTAAATGGAAAGTAAACTATCAATTTGGAGGCAAATTTTGCCTAATTTGGATTTAAAACGAGTAAGTTATAGCCTTCCAAAGTTGGTCTATTGAAGTCATATAGACGTCTACATAGTTTTATAGAGGTCTATACCTTCGTTATGTGACTATTTACTGCAAGTGAACTCTTTCAAAAAGTCATGTAGACGTCTATATGCTCGACGATGTTTGAAAAGTCAGATTTAATTGCTCCCAAACATATCCTAAAGGTTCTAACAATCATATAAATATCCAAATGAATACCTCTCATTATTTCTCACTCTAGATGCTCTCTGCTTAGCTTCCATTCCTTTCCTTGGCGTCGGAGTCTTCTACTCCAGCGACCTCTTGGGAGGCTAGGTCTATTCTTCCTTATCCTTCTTTTCATTCATAGTGAATTTTGAGATGGGTTTCACAATCTTGAGGACATTTCCCCTACATTAGGGATTTTACCTTGTATATTTGGTGTCTTGCAATTTTTGTTTGTTTGGTTGGAGCATTTTGTCAAACAGTTGTATTCAATTAGAGCTTGCTAAGGACTTTCATCAAACACTTATATTTTTAGTGCTTTCTTTGCTTCACAAACCTACTAGTGACACACATCAAGGATAGTATCACTGTATAAGGTTTTAAAAGTTGCAAAGAACCAATTCACCCCCTCCCCCTCTTGGTTCTTCATAAAGGTTTCCTCTCGACTTTTGAAGGAGTGATATGGTGGATCTGGAATCAAGACATGCTCTTGGGGTATGGACATAGGCGGGGTGCCGAACCACATTACCACTTGATATTCTTTGTGTTTGCATTTCTCTACCATTATCTCTCTTTTCTTTTGCTAGTTAAACTTGTTCTTACATATTCATTTGTTAAATCTCTACTTGCACTCCAAGTGTTCTATTTATAAATGCTATGAGATTTCTTATTATTATCATAATATACATTCAAAAGGAGGATGTGATGTATGCTTGGACTGAGGAGATTGTTTGGTTGAATTAGATATATTGTTGCTTAGCCTTGGAGTAATTGCACTTATATTTGCATTTTCATTTGTTAAAATCTAGCTGAACACCAGTATTCTATAAAATGAATAATCTACAAAGTCTTTACTTTTTGCCTATTTTATTACATCATTGTAGATTCAATTATCCACCCAATTCCCCCCACCACCCACCCCCCCCCACACCCCCGCGGGGGCGGCGCCAAAGGTTTGCATCTCTGATTTTGTGCTAACTCCTTGTCAAACATAGTGTTCCATATCTTACCCCATCAATCAAAATTTTGAAAATACAGATGAATTGGTCTCTAAAATTCCATATAAATTTGGTAAGTTTTTGGCATAATGTAGGAAAAGGAATGAATGTATAGTTTGCCAAACTATGCCTAGAATTGGCATTACTTTGTTTTAAAGAATTCAAATTGTCCAAGATTTTTCATGACCAAAAACTGAACTGGGAACTAAAAAATCCTTTTTCTTTTAGCCTCCGTTTATTTCAACATATGACATCTTCTGAAAAATATTTTTCTATGTTTCAGTGTTCACGTAAAACATTTTTCTAGTAATATATTTTACCCATTTTTAACAAAATTGACTTCCTGATATGAAATCGGTAAGTCATTTTATCGATTTATCTTCGTTAACAGAGGAGTCATATCTCTTTTACCTACCTACACATCTCAAACAAAGACATCCTAAAGTATCATTTGGCTTCTTATGTCACTATGCGATATCATTTTTCTAACCTTCACATGGAGTTACCAGCTCTCGTTCTCAAGTCCTTGTATACTATTGCTACAACTATAAGAAGTATCAGACCAAAAAAATGCAAATTCAAGATTCAGATTGCCACTTCAATTTATCCTCTACATTTTGCATGAATTTCTCAAAACTGTGTGTGTGTGTGTGCGGAAGTATCTTGGTGTTTATCATATACATATATATATAGGTATATAAAGATATAAAAGTATGTGTATGTGTAATTGTTTCAGTTAAACTCAACCGAAAATAGATGATGACAGAAATCACTTTGTACTCTATCACAAATTTCAGTTCATTGTTTTTTTCATCTTTGTCATATGCTTCTTTATCCTAAAAAAAAAAAATTTCTTTTTTTGCTTTTTTTTTTTTTTGAGTCAAGCCAAACAACACTAAAAGGAAAAATTTTACATGTAAAAGTTTTTATATGAAAAATATTTTACTACTGTGTAAAATTGTTTTATATGTCAACCTTTTATCAAAAAAGGAAATATAACACACATTCCTTCTATTTAGACAGATGAGCAAACAATGAAGCTTTTATCGAAGCTTTTTTTCTTTTTTAAAACCAAAATTTAAATATTAAAACCCTAAAATAGAACTCTAGGCTTATCAGTAGCTTCCCAAGGTCAGTGGAATCTTTATGCCCAAAACCCCGATTCATCAACACACATATAGAGACTTGTAGTAGGGAAGAGCACTAAGACTTTACCTATTACTGTAGGCATCAACGTTGAACAAAGTGAACTTTGGTATGCTTGAAATGGATTTGAAGCTGCTTCTCTTACGTTGAGCTGAGCAGATTAAAATGCCAGGTTCATAATTAGAGGGAAAATCAATCTAGGGTTTAGGGTTTTACGGTATGACTTACCAGTGAATAGCGGAGAAATTGAAGCTCCGAGTCTCGATTTCATCTTCTTCGCACCCGGTTTGTTGAGAATCGGACTCCTCCTCTTCAATTGGTTTCGTAATCGCAATGAATTTAATTATATATCGTACAACATGAAATGGGGTTAATAAATCCCACCGACCCACCCGTTTGGTATTGCGCATGGCGAAAAGAGAGGGAAAAAGAAATGGGTTAATAACGATCTTGTTTGGTAATCAATGAGGGAACAGACTCGTTTATAGTAATTTTGGATTATCATTTAATTAATTTGTGTTAGATCAAGAGGGAGTGAATTGGTCTAATTATACTTTTTCTTCAATGAAAACAAAACCGAACAAACATGAATCAAACACATAACTCAAGCTTTACAAGGAAAACCCTTTCAAATGGAAAAAATCTTGGTTCTTGGCCTCAGCCAATAAAAACATCCACTAGCTATATGTATCTTGTTACACACTCAGCTGTCTCACTCTCTGCACACACCTTGTATAAGAATAGACATTAGGTTTCACAACCGATACACACACACTAGCTCACCAATATGCTCATAAGCACTCCCCCTGTTCTAAGCAACCTTGCTTGGACCCTAAAACTCTCAATAGCTTAATCAACAATGGGGTGAGATATCAAAGCCTCACTACCATTAACAATGAAGTGTAAATACACAGAATACAATACACTTAAGCTGCCATACAATGTAGGAGTTCAATACATAGCCTTAAGTATAGAACAAAGTAGAGCCCTAGCTTGTTTTCTTCTGCAATCAATGGATACTTCTTCAATAACACAATGTAGCTTCAACTGATACTCATACTAGGATCCCACAGCCTTGTCTCAACACAATGACTTGCTCACACCAATTTACAACAATGAACAACAAATATAACACTAGTGGCTGCTTGATAGGTTACTAACCCTCTTCAAGTGTAAATCTGTTACTTCAGTGATTAGCTTCAATATAGACCCTTCTTTTGTTACCACAGCCTTGACATCTTCATACAATCTTGCTCAAGAGATATATTCAATAAATAGAGTTAGGAATAACAATTTCTGATCACAAAGGGCTTTGTCTCAACAAACCCTAACTTTTAAGCTTTCAAGGGTAAAACAATAATGTGGCCTTAATAATACCCCAAACTTTGCACCCACAGACTTCAATATATAAGATACACTTGCTCAGTTTATAGGAACAATTAAAACAACAAGATATAACAAAGTCCAAGCTCACAGCAACTAAATCAGAGTTTAATCTTAAATCTCAGCTTTTGTCAATCAAAGACTTAATAAGCTTCAAATCCTTCTCAACATAGACATCCACAGCTTCAACTCAGTATATATACTTGCTCAATAACATTAATCAAGTAATATAGGCAAGAAAGAACAATGTAGCTTGAATACAACAATTAAGCTGCTTACAGCAGGTTTAGGTTTACAGCAACAGTGACATCTCTGTTCTGGGGGTATAAATAGAAATTTGCAGTGTCTCAAACCTGGAAAATCCTCTCACAATATTGTATCAACTTCACACAGAAGCATGGAAGTTAAGCACATCAATATACTGGTCAAATTCAGCTCCAAAATCTGTACTCAGTCAATTTCTGCAGAAACCCTGCTCTTAGGGACTGAAGTGTAATTTCACAGCTGCACAGCCTTGTACTTGAAGTCCTCAGTCATATTTCATGATAATACACATGCTCAGATAGTAAGAATAGCAAGTATAGCATGGTATAAAATATTCACTGCTCAAATCTCAGATTTCAGGCTTAAAACCCTATAAACTTAGGTTTATAAGGTCAAACAACAAGGTGGTTATCTTTATGGCAATTTGTGAACTTCAACAGCCTTTAATCAATGATAAAAAGTTGCTAGGATAATTAACTTGAAACTCATAGAAAGATACAACCATTCTCTACACAAATCAAGAGGCTAAACCAGAAAATAAGCTGAAACTGAGATATGTGAACTTATAATGATTTTCTGTGCAAGTTTAGGCATATACCTGAGTTCTGCAGATGTAAATTCGTGTCCCAAGTTTGCTCCAACCTTCACACAGCACACGAAACCTCTAGAACAACTTTTAATTTCTCATTCCAGCCTTGACAGCAGCTTTCACAAGTTCATTATTTCTTCAGTGAATGAGTGCATTCTTCATGGTGATTTCAAAGATTAAAATCAGGTATGAACTTCAATTTTTAACCTCACTGAAAGTCACACACATTCTTAGCTTACGAGCCTCTCACACACAGCCTTACAATGTAGCTCAAAAGGTCTATTTGTTGTACACAGCTACTGTAAGCTATAAGGACTATTTAAATGTCCTCTACCTCAACGACACAACCCTAGAATTGTAGATAAGAATCATTGAGGTCCTCCAATCATTGTTGAGATGATATTCTGGCATTTTCAATAAAGAAAGGACCACACTGCCCTTGCATAACTTTCAACTTTTAATACAAACCTACACCTTTTGCAGCCTAAAACTATCTTTGTGCAATGTTGTTATATACATATTGCCCAAAATAAACCTTTCTGTCATTATCCTCTTTCACTAGGACCACTGTGCACGTGGAACATTGCTGTGATATCAGTGAAATACCAGAATTACCCCTTGGTTGATACACATTATGTATACTAGCTAAATGAACCTATTCAACATACTTTTCTGCACCAAAGAGACAATGCACCTTCAGAAAAGGTTTCCAATCATACACTGCAGATTAGATAAATCAAAATACCCCTGTGGATGTAGGTAAAAATACTGAATACCCTTGCTGAGAACACATATCCCTTGGACCAAAACTGTTTGCAGCAGCAGCCTTTTCAAAATGCAATTCAGTCCTTGTATGATATTTGAAATACAATGTAGCACTAATGACAAATGTAACAAGATTGCTCCCATATGTAGAAAGAGAAAGATACCCTTGTGATAAATACTTGTATTTGTCATTCAAGAAATAAACCTCAAGATAGGTGATGCCATTTAACCAAAAGACTTAGTATTTGTCATTCAAAGAGCAAACCACATCAACAATCTCCCCCTTTTGCCTTTTAATGACAAAAACCAAGTCTTCTCCCCCTTTTTGACATTGAAAGTCAAAAAGACCAAAAGAGTTTTCAGTGCAGCTTGTAGGACCAATTTCATTTGAGGGGTCAATCAAAAGAGACAACAGACAAAAAATTATAAGGGCCAATGAAATAAATTCAGTAATAGCTAATGGTTTTGTTGGATTGGTGAGAATGCTGCAATTTCCTTAGAATTCTTCAAAACAAGCATTTCAAGGGCATACAAAGCATGTGAATAATAGCATGTAGATGCTCAATTGAAAAACTTGAGATACTGAGCAACATACCAAGAGATGAAAATCAATTTTAAAGCGTTCAGGCCTTCAACACAACTTAGTGTATAAAATGGCTTCAAGGACTTCAGAGTAATTTTCTTTGAATAAAGAACTGGGCTCCTATGGTCATGAAATAGCAAACCACTTGTGCTTGGATTACCAATGGTTAATAAACAATAGTGGAATTTTAGAATTCTGGTTGAAACAGTCCAAGATATTGATTTTGCAGAATTGTTATTCAGGGGACAAATTTGCAATACCATGACTGAACCCTCTTGAATTTAGTTCCCACACCTTCATTTCATCATATAACACTTGTTCAAAATACCATTTCACAGTCAATAGTAAGGTTATAATAGATCACAGTTCAATGTAGGCATCATAAGACAAATTCTGTAGCAGCACTGTTATGAGGGCAAACCTGGTATTTCACCATTACAAAACTCTGGATTTTTGCTCTCTCAAATGTATATTGACTATATGGACAAACTCAAAAAAATAGTACAACAAGTACTGCAATAAAATGCACTTCAACACCTAAAACAGCCTTGTAAACAGGTTAAAACTCACTTGATGAGGATTATTATATCAAAATCTGAAATGGTGGTTTCTCTGACTTAATTTCAACTTAGGCAGCCTCACATTGACAAACAAAGCATGCTCAGACAATGTAAACATATTCCACAGGAGAGAAATCAATTTTGCAGTTCATATAGTATAAACTTTCATCAAAATCTCACTTTTGTAAACAACCTTAAATACTTTGATTCCAGAGACCAAATTGAGTTGCAATCTTTTTTCTGAAGCTCTATCACTTAATGTAGCTTCTACTTAGTGATACATTAATGCTCAGATAGTGAGAGAACACAATGTAATGTTATTATAGAGAGTTAAGTTCAATTTTCAAATTCAGAACCAAATATCAGTGCAAATTATCAAGTATGAGATAATGGATTACCTTCAGCATGAACTTGGTTAAGTGAATGTCTATAGTAGATGTCAAGTGATGTTTTGCACTTGAATTAATCATGTAGGAACACCAAAAATTTCTTCAGGGTGTTTAACCCTTCACAACAAGCATCAGAATTGGAAAGCAGCAACAAGAGACATTTGAAGAACATAAAGCAACTTGTCTCTGAGAGGGGGTGGCCTTGTAGGAATTTGAACCTGACATACAATGATAAAGCTGTGATTATAAAAGTTCTTGTCTTTGAGAGGAGGTGGTCTTGAAGAGCTTTGAAGTTGGTAATTAATAACAATAGTATAATGACCTTGAGAAGCCTTATTTCTGATAACACTTTCAGTTGTAAAACATTTTTGAAGACCAATCTGTGAGTATCTTTTGATAATTTCAAACTTGAGAGTTCTGAATTGATAGAGAACTAAGTGCAAAATTTCCTTGGGTATGAATCTTCAGATTTTGACAGCTTTGAGTTTTCTTCACAAGTGTATTGTTTTTTTAGCTTCTACCCTCATCTTCAAATGATGCAAACAATTATTATCCCAAATTCTTTTAACACTTGAATTACAGATCCTGGGAATTTTACCTACTAATATACTCATTGAGAGCAGCCTTAACGATGGTCTCATCATTTTGATCTTAATATGGAGCTTCTTGACTTTGTATTTCAGAAACCAAGGCATACTTAACTTCTTCATGACATAAGCTTGTGAGATACATGGATGATTCAGAGAATGCATATGATAGCGGTGTTTGTTGAATCTTTCTTCTGAGAGATGAGAGAATGAGCTTTTTAGATACACCTTTTTGCATTTCTTTATGCTATAGCCAACCTCTTCATCAGTTTTTAGTTCAAGATTACTATAATAGGTCAAATGCAGTGGTAGACTTACATCTTCTTGTCTTAACTTTTTCAAGAT